GTGTGTGTGTGTGTGTGTGTGTGTGTGTGTGTGTGTGTGTGTGTGTGCGCGCGCGCGCGCGCGCGCGCGTGTGTCATTCTCAGGGCAGAGGGAAGAATTCAGGAAGAAGAAAGGGAAAAGAAAAAGATCGATCGAGGCAGTCACTCACCCCTACTCCTCCCGACTCCTCCCCACCCTACTGCAGTGCTCCGCGCTTCCCAGAAAGCTCACCACCCAGAGGGCAGTTTCCCGAAACCAGAGCATAGCCCGAGTCCTGGGCAGGCAGTCTGGGGAGATCGGGGAGACGGGAATGGGTAGAGACAAGCGATGGGAAGCGAGCTGGCTAAGGAAGGGGCGAGGAGGCCAGCGACGCCAGCCGAGATCCCCCGCGGTGATGGGAGGGCAGGGCCGGGCTGCCGGGACCTACCTGGAACAGTGACGGTGGAGGATGCCCCCGGCACCTCTGGCCTCTCCTCCTCAGCCTTCTCCCGCTGCCGTTGCTGCTGCTGCTGCTGCTGTTGCTGGATGAGGCTGAGGTCGGAGCGACTGAGCTCGGCTCGAGCGGCCGCGGGGACCAGCCGCGCCTTCAGCAGCACCGCGGCCAGGCCGAGCAGCAGGGTACAAGGGACGCGCCGGCTGAGCCTCGCCATGGCCGAGAGCCAGAGGGCCGCGGCGGCATATTGCGGAGCTCCCGGCGGCGGCGGACGCCCGGGCTGCGGGCTCCGGCAGCGCCCGCTCGCTCGCTCCCTCGCTCCCGCTCGCGCGCTCTGCCTCGCACGCCCTCACCAGGAGGAGGAGGAGGCCGGGTAGGCGGCGGAGGGGGAGGGGCGGCGGAGGAGGGGGAAGTTAGCATCCTGGCGCACGTGATGCGCAGGGCGGGGCGCGCCGGGAGCCCGGGGCCGCGGCTCAGCTGTCACCCGCGGCCGAGCTGCTCCGGGGCCACGGGCTCCGCGCAGTGCTGGGGCGCTGGGCCGGGTGGCGGCCTCCGAGGGTACATGACAAAGAAGAGCCTTTCCGGGCGCTGGTCGGCGTTTGGATCCCCCAGCCCTACGGAGACACCGAGAAATTTTGCAGAAATGTGAATAAAATTCTCACCACCTGACCCCAAAGTAGAGGAGAAGGTGGTGTATGGATTACTCTCCTAAAACACTTAACGCAGCGCCCACCGATCAATTAGTCGGGACCAATTAGCCATACGGGCTTTGCTGCATCACAGCCATGACTGATTAACAATTAAACCGCAGTTCTACCGATTTTAACTAAACTTCCTCTTTCTGCTCAAGTGGGAGTTTCTTTATGTTCTCGAATATTCTTAATTACATTTTGTCTGATTGTAGCATACACTTTTCATTTGTTCAAAAAAACATTTCCTAAATGAGTACTAGGTGCTTACTATGTACTGGCATTTAGTCAGGGGCTTGAAATAAGCAAGATAAATCCCTGCGTTCTGGGAGCTCCTACCTGTTAGGGCAGAGAAATACATAAGCAAATTATCATCCAGTGTGGTGGTTGCCCTTGGAAACATACTACAACGTGCGAAGGTTGCACTGAATTTGGAAGAAATTATGTGGTGTATGGGAGCGCACTATGAAACACCAGGGGAGGCGGCCTGGCTTATAAAGAGTTAAGAGTTCCACACATAGATGGGTGCAACCAGGTGGTCTAAAAACTGGAGCAGCGTGTGTGTGTGTGTGTGTGTGTGTGTGTGTGTGTGTGTGTGTGTGAAGCCCAGAGGTGTGTAATAGCACCCACCCTGTGCTTGGAAAGTTGTGAGCAATGATTGTGACAGAGTGACAATATTTTAGATTGAAAAGGAAAATGAAAATGAAGTCATTAAAAAAAATAATAGCAGACACTTCTATAGAATTTACTGTATCCAGGCACTATTTAAGCACTTCATCTACATTAACTCCTGTAATAACTGCAGTGGCTACATAAGGAAATTGAAATTCAGGCTGCAGGTGATTATGAAGTAGTGAAAGAAATCAATCAGGGAAGGGACTTGGTACCAGTCCGCCTAGCAGGATCACTTTGCTATCAGTATGGAAGATGGATTACAGAAGGATAGACTGGAGGAGAGGAGGCCAATTTAGATGTGTTCCCCAAAGTGGTGAGGAGATGCTGAAGTCTTGTGACCCTGGAAAGGAGAGGAAAGTCATGGCAGATTCAGTATTTAAGGCTAGTATCAACAGATAGTTGATTGTTTGGGTGGGGAAGAGAGAAGGAGAAAGACATCCAAATTGTCAGACTGAGATCTTGGGTGGCTACTAATGGCATCATGAAGATTAACTGGTTACATGGACGTTCAGAGTAGATGAGAGGCCATGCGTGTTCAGTTGTGGCCTCTTTGCTTTTGGAGTGCCTGTGGACACTCCGGACATCTCCTAGTATAATGCAAATGTGATCTGATGGTGACATCACATCATTTACCATCATAAGTTGATTTGGCTGATTGGATTGTCCCATTCCACACTCACCATTTTTTTTTCTTTTTTAAAGATTTTATTTACTTATATGACAGAGAGAGAAAGAGGAGAGAGAGCACAAGCAGGAGGAGCGGCAGAGGGAGAGGGAGAAGCAGGCTCCCCACCAACAAGGTAGCCCATCTCGGGGCTCGATCCCAGGGGCCCTGGGAACATGACAGAGCCACCCAGGCACCCCGTCACTCACCATTTTTCTGCGTGGTCCTCCCACTGTTTCCAACTTCCTGGAAAAAGAAAACCAAACTTCTCAGTAGTGGAAATTTATTCTTTGCTCAAGGGTATGAAAATAGTACCTATATAACCACAAAGAAAATAATATTAGTAATAATAATAAAAATAGGCATTTTATGTATGTAATCTCACTGTGTCCTTAGAGCAGTCCTACAAAAGAGCTTTCATTATCCTGTATAGCAAATGGGAACACTGAGAATCAGAGAGGATATCTACTGTCTTGTCAAGGCTGAGCTAGTAATATGTGATTTCATCTTTCTGCACCATTGAAAACTTTTACATAAGTTTGCATTGCTTTTTAGTAATTTTTAGACAAAAAGAACCATGTGAGCTATGTAAGTTTTGGAAAATAGATGCAAAAAGTGAGGCCCTTCACACTAAACACCATTGTTCCATCACAGCTTTGCCTTGCCTATGTGATCAGGAGCTACTGGGTGGGAGGCTGAATGCAGAGAGCCTTTATTAGCCTCATCAAGCTGTTTTTGTTGCATTTTCTTCCAAGTTACCTCCGCTCCTGGAGAGAGGAAAGGAGAAAATGGAAACAGCTCCAAAAACCTGACTGGCAGATCAGAAGGAAAGGAATGTGGCCAGGATTTCTGTTATGTGCCTTATGGTGGCCAAGTCTTCTTTAATATGTTAGAAATTGACCTTCCAGGGGCAAAGCCACTGATTTCACGGCCCCAGTAGAGGGTGGACCTCAAATCCTTCACTACTATGGACTGTTTAAAGAAATAAGCTTTGTCTATCAAGATGGTTTTTAGATGATTTTTAAGTGCTTCATTACTCATATAGCTTATGCCTAATTTCTGTGCAATATACAAAAACCATATTATCTGATGCAACCAGGGCTAGTAATGAATAAAAAAATGTTGGTCAAGAGACACACACAAAAAAATCAATATATCTTAAATATGTTTTAAACTGCTTATTTTACCTTAACATAAGCAAATGTACATTTATTTACCCATCTTCTGAGGTAGGACCAAGATTGTTTTTAAGTATCTAAGCACATTTTAGGGTTTGAAGTCATAAACCACAATTATAATACACCTCTATTACTTGCAGTTTAAGTGGAAGGAATTCTTAAACACTCTTGACAAGCAATCTGAGTGCCAGATCTTTCTATTAAAAATTTTTCCCAATTTTACAATTTTTCACCCATTTAGTATTAAACTTTGTTTTCATAGAAAAATACACTTTTTTCAAATTTATATTTCATCGATTCCTTAAAATACATAGAACTGGCAAAAACAAGTTTAGGAACAAACATAACTGACTTTTGGCACACACACAAACCAACTGGGGAGAGCCAAACCAAGCAAACATTCAGGAACGTGTATCCTGCTAACAGCGTGTGCATTACCTGTCAGTCAGTGTGTTTTACAAAGGAATGGAAGATGCCAGTGCCATCAGAAAGCAAAGTACACTACCATATATATATATATAAATAAAATAATTCTTCCCTGCCTAATATCTACTGGTACCTCCCAATTTCTCTTAACATGAGGTCCATAATCTCTAAATAGACTTACAAAGCCATTTATAATCTATCCTCCAATGACCCAGGCTCATCTTTTAATATTTGCCACATAAATACACACACACAGCACTCCAAAGAGAGAGAGAACCAGAGAGAGAGAGAAAAGGGATTTCTTTTATTACTTTGAACTAGACTTATTTGGGTTGCCCCTAGACCTTCACAAATTGACTTCCTCTGCCTGGAACTCTGCTCCCTCACCTCTTTTACTGGTAATCTTCCATAGAGCGTGAAGAGTTAGTTTAGATATTACTTCCTCCAGAATACACTTCCTGACACCCTTAGCTTTGATTAGGTGCCCCTACCATGAGCTTTCACATCACCTCATATTTCCCCTTTTCTAAATAATAGAACTTTATTATTTAAAATGGATACTAACTTGCCATATCCTCATTAGTATATGTGAGGCTAGGGCAGGACACAGGACCAGGGCCATCGAGTTCCCAGCTCCATCTCCAGCTCCTACCCCAATGCTTAACACTGGTTGTGGATTGCTTGCTTAACCAAAACAATAAATCAATGTTAAGAGGCAAAACTGTTGGTTAATGGAGGAAGGCCCTGAAATCAGACTGCTCTGGTACCCACCACTCACAGATATGTGATTTACACAATATTCTAGGCCTAAATTTCCTCAGTTGTATAATGGGAGAAATAATAGAGCCTCAAAGAGGTAACAAAATGAAATCATATATAAAAATACTTAGTTTCTTGCTATAGAAACTGTTTAGTAAATGTCAGACACTACTTCTTTTGCTAATATTAGGTATGGTCTGTTTTATTTTTATATATTTTATAATGCATGTAAAATTTCATGTTATATGTAGTCAATTCTCATTTTACTCGGTAGTTATGTTCTATAAATTGACTGCAAATACTAAATTAACAACTGCTGAACCATAGTTCCCAAGAGGAATACAGAGTTAGGTTCCTGTGAGTCTCTGGTCACAACATTTTCATCAACTAATCAATGCATAACTTGTTTTATGTGTATTTCTGTTTAAAGACCCCTCATTTATTATGTGTTACTGGTTTGTTAACATTGAGCTCACAGCCAACAGTACTATAACTCACGCCTGAAAGAAGCTTATAGCACATATGTACTTTCTCTGTAAGGAACATCACAGCCTTCTTGGACATAGGAACACGACAGAGCACTTCAGCACTATAATCAGCGGCCATTTGAAACAACAAAATAACCAAGGGAAAGTACGAAGCAGGAAAAAAAAAAAAAACTGGCACTAAGTAGAAGACCAAAGGGACACTTAATATGAGAGCTGAAAGAGGGAAGAGCATCACCTTGTTTGACTTTAGCTGGGAATGTGAATGTTGTGTAACTCAAATTTTTCCCTGCTCTGCACATTTCCATGAATAACTATGAAAGCACTGATTTGGGGGTTAC